CAGGAGGACAGAGCCCCAGAGGGACCGGCCACAGCACGCATTCATCCACTTGCGGGAGTCCCCCAAAACTTCAGTGGACATGCATGCACTACCCAGAGACCAGAAGCGCCCCACATGTACGACAGGTCCACTCCCCCAGTTCCAGGGCAACCATGAAAGGCACAAAGCAGTTACAAGCTGAGGTACTTAGTGTGGAGCCTTGGACAAGGTCGTCTATGTAGAGCCAGCGTGACTGAGTCTGGGTAGTGAGACAGGAAGGAGGAGAATCGCTGTGCATGAAGGCACACTCTGTGAGTGCTGATGCACTTGGGAGGCTGAGGCAGGAGGACTGCTGTGAACTCAGGGCCAGCTGGGCTACACAGTGAGCTCAAGGCCGGCCTAAAAACACAGCAGGTTAACATGTTTGTTAACACAAAAGATTGTTAGTCTGCTAACATAAGAAAGACTAATATATCTACCACATTTAACATTTGACCTATATTTTAAAACAAAATTAAGGGCTGGCCAGATAGCTCAGTAGATTTAAGCACCTGTTTAGGCAGACACAGGGACTGGGGTTCAATCCCCGGCCTGCCATGCTGGCCCCAACCCCGCCCCTGGGGCACACTGAGCCACTGATTGAGACTGGGTGTGGTGGCACACGCCTGTGATCCCAGTGCTTGAGAGGCTGAAAACAGAAGGATCACTATGAGTCTCATCTGTGTAGTAAGACCCTGTAGACCCTATACTAAATACATTTTTTAAAAATTAAAATTATAAAAATACATAAAATTTATAAAAATTAAATTTATAAAAAAGATGGATGGGGCCGGGGAGATAGCTCAGTAGAATAAGAGCTTGCCTGGCAAGCACAAGGGCCTGAGTTCAATCACCAGTTCTGTCAAAAAAAAAACAAAGGATGTTCTCTGTGGAATCACCCAGGCAGAACAGTAATTTTGCAGCAACTCTGCAGGGACACATGACCAAGCAATCGAGGTCAGCACCCACAGGAAGCCAGGCGGAGCTTACAGCCCTGGATGAGCTCCTGAGCGGAGTCCCGATACCTGCTTATTTTGCCCAAAATGCAGAAGCTCAATCTAATCACAAAAACAGCAGACAAACCAAATGATGGGCCAGTACTCTTCAAGGCGTCAGGGTCATGAAAGACAACGGAAGACTGAGGAAGGGGCACAGAGCAGAGGTGAAAAGACAACCTTCTAGACGGGCGGGTGGGCACCAGTAGAGACCCAGGAAACCTGGCAGAGTGGAGTTGAGCAGTCAGGAAGCAGCCCGGCAAGCAGCTCTTGGTGGCAGAGTGCGGTCTAGCATGTGTGCAGCCCTGGGTTCCAGCCCCAGTACCAGAAAAGAAAGGAAGTGCCTAGGTGGAGTCTTTGGCTGAGAGCCTCGCGCTGCAGCTAATCTGAAAGCCACTGGCCGGGAGGTGGGCACGACAGCGTGGGACGCTCCATACCACTCTCAACTCTCTACATCTAATGTCACTATAAAATACACGTTGGGGGCTGGTGAGATGGCTCACTGGTCTAAAGCACCTACTTAGAACAAGCTTAGCAAAGCACAGGGACCGCGGTTCAATCCCCCAGCACCACATGCCAGCCAGCCCCGCCCCCTGGTGGGCTGAGCTGGCCACACACACACACACACACACACACACAAATAAATAAAAAAACAATAATAATATAGGTATTGGGCCACCAATGAAGCCACGAGACTGCGTGCAAAGCTGGCTCTTAACAGTCAGCAGAGATCGCAGTCTGCCGCTTCTGGACACTAAGTGCCAGGCCGTTTCCCTGTCACAGTCCTAAACCTAACAAGGGCTGCCTGCAGCTGGCATGTAGCTGGGGAGCAGCCCCACCCCGTCCCACACAGTGGGTCTGCAGCCCACGACAGAGTGCCACAGGGGGTTCCTGGGTCAGGTCTCCTGTGCCACTCAACCTGTGGGGTTCTCCTCTGCTGCCCACAAATCATGTAGCCGCCCCTTTCTCCTTATTTGTCCATTTTCTGTTTATTATCTTAGTTTCTCACTGTTCATAAATATATACAGTACATATCTTAAGCTACCAGCAGCACCAAAAAACTCCCATGAACCTAAAACATGTAAGTTTCGGGCTCCCAAGAAGCCCCGACTCACCAGGCCGATGCACTTCTTCAGTATGCTCCACACGCTGAAGTCGCTTCTGGTGAACATGGGGGCAGGCAGTGCCGTCCTAGGAAGACAAGGGCAGCCGGCACTCTTACCCACCTGGACGACAGACGCGCAAAAAGCAGGCAGCGCTCCAAGCCAAGGGAGTGGGGTGGCACGAGCCAGGCCAGGGCAAGATGCTCCTCAGGCCCCAAAGAGGTCCCAGTGGCTGCGACCAGAAGAGCGAACAGAGCTGAGCCCCAAGGATAAGAGGTAGGGGTGGCCCTGTCCTACAAAGAGGGCAACTTTATAGTCCAGCATCCAAGCCAAGACACTTCCGGAAGCAAATGGGGTGCTGCTCAGAGCTCCTTAGGAGCAGGGGTGGGGACAGCCCATCGTAGGTCTGCAGGCTTATCAGGTCTAATGGACAAATGCCCTCCTCTGCAGGAAGCAATCAGGAGGGGAGGGTGGCGCTCAGCAGAGATGGGAGAACCCAAGGCTCCAGGGTGCATTTAAAGGGAGGGAGGCAGAGGCAGTAGCGGTCACAGGGCACCAAGCGCCATGAAGTGGAGACAGTGTAGCTGCCTTGGACGGGGCCCCACAGCACCAGGGCTGCTCCTGAGCTGCTGAGCACAGAAACAAAGGACTGCAGCAGAGTGAGGCAGCTGGGGCGCTGGGTGACCCGCCACTCAGGCAAGTGGACCGACGTCCCAAAGGGCACTCAGGGTGGGGCTGGAGAGCTCTGGCACCAAACACACCTCTGAACGTGCCTAGGACGCCACCCCATCCCCACCACCCGCACTCCTCTTTCTCTTGATAATCACTACATGTGCTGCTCACTGGTCTCAAAGCTCTACTTATGTGAACATGAACACTGTAGTGGGAAGAAGACAGAATGGGGTCTTGCTACAGCAAGTTAACCAAACCCTTTCCATCTTCACTGGGCCCCTGGCCAGTGCATCTTAGTAGGATACAGAAGAAACAAGAAGATTAATCCACTTTCTGGAAGAAGAGGAAGAGGAAGAGGAAGAGGAAGAGGAGGAGGAGGGGGAAGAGGAAGAAGAAGGAAGAAGGAGGAAGAAAGAAGGAAGAAGGAAGAAGAGGAAAAAGATCTACAAGAACCCAGCAAGGAGTCTGGCTCGCAGCAAGCCTGCTCTGCAGGCCAGGCCTGACGGTCCTGGACCAGGAGAACCCTGGCCTTCGTGGATGGAAGACTTGCGGGTCGATGGTGCAGTAGTGAACAGCAGAGAAACAGCCTCTCTGAGATTTGGTGTCCGGGGCTGGAACACAGCAAAGTGACGCAGAGGAGGAGGGAAGTGGGTCCCTAGGACCCGCAAAGATCTGGAGCGAGAACTGAAGCCCTCAGGGAGAGTGAAGAGAGACCTCAGCGGAGGAGGAGGTGGCAGGCAGCATGCTCTCCCCGAGCCCTGCACCACTGTGGGAGGGGCACAGAGACTACTGTGACCCCAGAGGGCTCTGTGGAGAAATGCACAGTGGGAGAGACCAGTGGATGTGGAGACTGCAGGGGCTGGTGAGTTACTCGGGTTCAGACGTCCCCCAGGAAAGGGTGCCTAGCCAGTAGCTACACACGAGAGGGGCCCACGGGGTTTGGAACGCAGGGCAGCTTCAGCTGCCTCCACCTAGCAGCTCCCAATGTCAGGGGGAGGTGGAACCAAGGTTGGGTCACAGGAGGTCAGGGAGCCGAGTCCAGCCCGCAAGAGGCACATGCAGTGCCGTGGGCTGGGCAAATCAGTGGAACCGACAGGACAGGCTGGCTGGGGTCACCCACTGCTCCACCAGACCTACAGCTGGCGTGCTGGGCTCAGGCAGTCAGACATGAACCCTGCCCACCACCCACCACCTACCGGTGACAGCAGGGACACAGCTTAAAGGGAACAGTTAAACAGCTTTTTTTTTTTCTTTTTTTTTTTTTTTTTTCAATACTGGGAATAGAACTCACAACCTCACGCCTATCAGATTCTTTGCTTATTTTTAAATCTTTTATTTATTTATTTGGTACAGGGTCTCACTACATAGCTCTGACTCATATCAATCCTCCTGTCTCAGCTTCCCCAGTTCTGGGATTACAGGCGTGCGCCACTATACCCGGTTTCAGTGGCTGGCATGGCATGTGTATCAGGGATCCAACCAGGGTCCTTGGTCTGCCAGGCAGGCGCTTAGACCACCGACAAGCTCTCCAGCCAAGGGTCTTCTCTTGTTGTTGTTTGGTCTTGTTTATTGTGTGCGATGAGTGTGACCACTGTTTCTAGTCTTAGTTGCTCTGCTCTTGTCCTTGCCTCTTCCTTCTTCTCCTCCCGACTTCTGCACCGATTTCCCAAAGTCTGCACAGCCTCCTCCATCCCCAGCCCTGCTTCTGATCGCCTCCTCTTCTTCTAGTGCTCTAGTTTCCCCCAACCCCTTTAAAACTTCCCCATATGGGACATGGCAGTGCACACCTGTAATCCCAGCACTTGGGAGGCTGAGGCAGGAGACTGCTGTGAATTTGAGGTCAGCCTGCACTACACAGGGAGACCCTGTCTAGGGAAGAAAAAAAAACTCCCCCTGAGAGTAAAAGAGCCATACTGAGGGCATATTTACTATATATAATTTTTTGGTTTGTTTAGATTTTATTATGTGAACACAAATCTAGTTCATAAGATTAAAGATGCAAATTAATACTTTACCACAGTTTGTCATTTTCTAGGCTATGTTTGATGCTGCTATTATTGGTAACTGTACTACTGTACCCGAAGTAATATAACTCTAATTACAGTACAATTGTTCTTCCTGGCATGCCAAGACTGAGACTGCCTAAGGGTCATAAACAATATTACAGGCCAAGGCCTGAGAACCAGGGCCTGGGCCAAACAGGCAGCGACTTCTCACCCTAGTTAACTGAAGAGGCAGGATCGTACAATGGACTCAAAATCTAAACGCCAGCTACCCCTAGAACAAGAAGCAGTCATTTTCTAAAAGTCCTAAATACTAGAAATAAAGCTACTTGCCATAAGCAATTAACAAGCATCAACCCAGGAGTTATGAGAGAGAGAAAGAGAGAGAGAGAGAGAGAGAGAGAGAGAGAGAGAGAGAGAGAGAGAGAAGAATTTGGATCCTACAAATAATAGTGA